TGGTGGTATCTTTTGCCTCTCCCTATTACACTTACAGACAGTATTACCAGTGGTAACTTCTATCACACATACAGACAGTATTACCGGTGGTAACTTCCATCTCCTTCTATTACACTTACAAACAGTATTACTGGTGGTATCTTTTGCCTCTCCCTATTACACTTACAGACAGTATTACCAGTGGTAACTTCTATCACACTTACAGACAGTATTACCAGTGGTAACTCCCAGTATTACCAGTGGTAACTTCCACCTCCTTCTATTACACTGCGTTCTCTCTCTTACCATAGTGTGTGTCTTTGTTACTGTTGTCTCTTCCATGAAAGATACACAAACCAGTAGAAATTGAAACATGAATTGTTTAAGAAAATCACAGATCAAATCCTTTCTCTACATGCTATCATTGTTTTATTTCTTACTTGTCTTGTTTATTATTATTATTATTTGTGTTTGTTTGTTTAAACAGCAATCCGTGTAATGTTTTCAACATGAACAGTTTGGCACACACGTGTGTTTGTTTACATACCCATGTAACATGTACACAGACTGTCATTACGTTTCATCAAGTACTCTGGTAGTTTATGTAGCTTCGGGTACTGCCACGAACAACTTCAATAATGTTTCAGTCACTTGCTTTGCTGAAGCTACCCTTGGTAGCGACGGTGGTGTCATCTAGGGGCTTTCAAACTCATTTTTATTTGAGTCTTTTGCAAAATTCAGAGGAACCGTGGATTGTTTTAACTAAAAATCTAGTTACAAAGATTACAATTCATGCTATTACTACTATACTCCAATAGACTCCAGGAAAAGTTTGACGAGCGTCGAATGGTATAGTTAGCAAAGTTCCCACCAGTCGGCTAGATTCTCGGAGTGATTTCGTCAAAACATTAGACGATGTTCTGCATCAAAAAATTCAGAGAGCAAGGGGTCGCAACGCCCTTTCAATCACATGATCATTCTAATTGTTACTTATCAAAATGTAGTCCATACATTCCACCGTACCTTGCAACCCAATATTTTGTCTCTTAGCAACAAAGGTATAACGTAAATCCTACGAAATGAAAACACCTTGTATACATAAGTAGAAGCTGAAAGTTAAATAAACCATAATGAAGACGATTAAAACAATGACACTGCACGGCTACAGACTAGGTGGAAAACTAAAATAACAAGTTTGAAAGACTTCTAGGCCTTAAAACAAACTATATTTATACGTTTCAATCAAAACAGGGAAATTTCTATTTACGATCACTCTGTCGGAGTTACAAAAGTTACAGTCTGCATTGAATAAGATGTTATATAAATTATAATATTCCCAGTGTTTAGCGTCGAAAGTTAAAATATTTCATCCAGGGTTCGAGTATAGCACTAGTTTCAGTCCTACCTTCATGTAGTTAACAGGATATCCTATTTGAACTCGTGTTACAGAACACAATTTTTCCATAGCATCAACAACAGGAATGTCAAAAGGACCTTTACTTCGGCTGGACTCCTCACGTCCAGAGTGATCGATGTGATAGTTTACACACCACTGGATAGCTTGACCTATCTGGAATGAAGATCAGTCACAAATGTATATGATTGTAAAAATGTTAAAAACACTGTTTTTTTATTTTGATCAAAGTCAACAAACAAGAAAAAAAGAGTATGTTTAAACAAGTAGTTTTATTTAAATAATTCCTATATGTGATGCTCCTAAGCCTATTTTTCATTTATTTGGTAAACTGGTCAAGGAATTTCAGGTTTATAAATTGCATCACCCGACCACCCCTGGACAAGATAGGCCTACCTTCACTAGTTATCAGATTTCGTAATGAGCCTATGACGTCATAACAAGGACACTCGCTCTCCTAACGAGCCCCATGACGTCGTAACAAGGACACTCGCTTTACTAACGAGCCCCATGACGTCATAACAAGGACACTCGCTTTCCTAACGAGCCCCATGGCGTCATAACAAGGACACTCGCTCACCTAACGTGCCCCATGACGTCAAAACAAGGACAGTCGCTCACCTAACGAGCCCCATGACGTCATAACAAGGGCACTCGCTCACCTAACGTGTCCCATGACGTCAAAACAAGGACACTCGCTCACCTAACGTGCCCCATGACGTCATAACAAGGACACTCGTTCTCCTAACGTGCCCCATGTGAGAAGACATCGTCTTCTAAAACCAATAAGAAAAATATATTCTGCAAATTGAACATTTCGTCCAATGTCTTCCAAAAACGAGACGACAGTTAGACAAAACCCATCTAGTTTACAAAGTTATTTACAAAAATTCGAATAATGTCTTTTGTAAGATCATCTTTAGGCACTTTGTTTTAATGTAACATAAAAACTTTATATTCATCCTTTTACCTTTACAAATGTCATATCCATATATATATATATATACACTCCTCCATTCAGTTTAGTACATTTTATTTTCACAAGGGAGAATCATATGACCATAACTCATATAGAATCTTTACCTTTACAAATGTCATATCCATATATATATATATATACACTCCTCCATTCAGTTTAGTACATTTTATTTTCACAAGGGAGAATCATATGACCATAACTCATATAGAATCTTTACCTTTACAAATGTGTGTTTGTGCAGATACATGCAGTGCATTTGGTATTTCCAAACTGTAAGATTAGGTCAAAGACTCTAAGGTTCGGGATAGCCGTTTATAATTTAGAACTCTTGACCACTGGGGAGACAGTCAGTCAACAGCACACATCTCACCTTGGCGATTAATAGTGGGTTTGATTGTCACTTTTATAACGCGCTCACGGCTAAAAATGCGGAGAGTGTTCAAAGACAGATAACGGACTCGAACCTTGATTCTTGACACACACACATATATACCCAAACAAAGCTATAATTTAATCTTACAACTAAAAATGTTTCTCAACTCCTCAAATAACCTCTATTACAACAAATATTCAAACACTTGTTGAAGTGAAAACTCATATGTTCAATAACAATAGTTACTAACGTAAAAAAATATACTGTCATTTCTAGGATAGCCTGAGCTTTTGTATAAAGTATACGAAAACAAAGTTGATTCGTTGTACTATTTACATCTCAACAGAAATTGCATATTTCTACAAGTCGAAATGCTCACTTTGTAAGTGGGTAAAGTTGACATGGTGTTTTCCATGCAGGTAATCGCTTTTGGTCTGTCTTCACGAGGGAGAACTGTGAGAAAAAACAGAAACTTCACAGACTCGCTCTCCTGCCAGTCAAAAATACAACTTCTCTACTATATGCATGCTTTATTTACATGTACACTACCCGTGTTGCAGGAAAGTACAATAATACTTTTAAATAACCTTATATGTTACTACCTGTGATGCAGGAAAGTACAATAATACTTTTAAATATATTACCTTATATGTTACTACCCGTGTTGCAGGAAAGTACAATAATACTTTTAAATAACCTTATATGTTACTACCCGTGATGCAGAAAAGTACAATAATACTTTTAAATAACCTTATATTTTGATAGATAAGTCGCTAAACCCAGGTTTAAGTCACTGAAATAAACTAGTTTTTGTCCTGGTAGTTTATATGATAATATTCTATACCAACGTTATCACTCACGGCAAAGCCTATATGCAATATACCGTCTACATCGTGGAGTCGTATCGCTATTAGAACCTCCTTGAGCCGAAGTGTCACCTTGTATGTTAGTGGAAAACCCCCTGAAGCATGACATCAAGGCTACTAGCATCAAGACAACTGACATTCTAAAGGTAAAAGACAACAACCAGTTAGTAACCTTGCATAAAAATCAACACTTCTATATAACTAACAATTCTAAGAACTTATGAATCAAAGCAAACTAGATTATGTAATAATATGTCAATCATACTGCATGGGCCACATCCTGTGCCGACGAAGCCTTTCGTACAACACCAGCGCTCATCAAGCTAGCTGTGATAGGACCAAGTAGTGGTGTGTATGCACGAACAACAACTGCAATAGTGTGATCTAGATGAGGTAAGTGAAATGTAATTATTATCAATTTATTTATAATTCAGAATGGTGGTAAGGATTAATCACAAAATATTATTTGTTTAATCTTTTACACCAATCGAACCCGATAACCTGGGCGTTTCAAGAGGGGTTGATCTTCCTACTTCAGAGGTGCAGTGGGCTTGTTCTATGATCCTACGTGAACTGTCAGTCCCACGACACCGACTGAAATTGTTTCAGAACTTAAAGTAGATAATATTTACTCAACAGAAACATACAGATAATTTAATAAGTGAATATACTATTTTACAATGATATATAACTATGTCAACACGAGCCTTTAATCAAGGAACTAGGTAGATAGCTGTACTAGGCTTAACGAAATATAAAGTTTCTGTTCGTTAGGCCCCTCGTATAGAAAAATACATACACATTTCTGGTGTGAAATAAGCAAATCAGGCCCGATCACAGAATGTTTGAAAGGTGGGTTCTAACAGTAAATCAGGCCCGATCACAGAATGTTTGAAAGGTGGGTTCTAACAGTAAATCAGGCCTGATCACAGAATGTTTGAAAGGTGGGTTCTAACAGTAAATCAGGTCCGTACACAGAATGTTTGAAAGGTGGGTTCTAACAGTAAATCAGGTCCGTACACAGAATGTTTGAAAGGTGGGTTCTAACAGTAAAAAAGGCCCGTACACATTCTTCCAATGTATTTTTCAGTGTTGTGCAGTTTCAGTGATGACAGTAGTGCCATAATGATTATGTATTAAAGCTAGAGCACTCTGACTTTCTTAGGTTTGTGTACACCTCAGGTAATTATTCAACTGGCGGAGAGGAGATGCCGAACGTTCATATGAACACGAACCCCTTAGAAGACTGTAAAGAGAAAACATGATGTTAAACACGAGTTTAATCACTTTTCATTGAGTCTAAAAATATCAGTATTTTGCCATCTTTAAATGTTTACATCATTGAGAAAAGAATATTATGGAATCGAACCCCTGATTCACCGGGGGACGTGTATATAAGCAACATCCCCCTAACAGATCCAAATTTTAGTCTTGTCCTCAATTCGCAGACGATGTGTAAATATGAAAAAGCTCTACGTTCACAACCGCTTACGCTAGCCTATTGAACTCTGACCTTATTGTACGCTTTATGATTATTATTCCTTGTTGGTTTTAGGGGTGAAATTACAAGTAAGGGTTATATGGTTTGGAATTTTTGTCTCATATTTATTTTTTGAACCTATTCGTTTTCCTAACATCGCCCGTAAAATAAGTTTTATTCCAAAATACTAGTTTCGAAAGAGCTCCTCACCCCATGTTGCTATCACAGTCGCATATAATTTCTATTCAACTGAAAAAAAAATTGAATGATCTATAGCCCTAAATTTTCTCAGTGTATAAAGAGATATATATTTATTGCAATAATTTTATACACGCTATATTTAAACAGTAAAATAGTTATGACGATATTCAGCACGCACGCAATATCCCAGAATATTTTTCTTTAATTGTGGTCATCACGTAGGCCGCTGTATGTTATATATATTAATTAATAGTAGACATACATTAGCCTAAAGTTCAACTTTAATGCCTATAAAACTTAACAACGCATATTAGGCCTAACCATTAGTTCTAACATGCCTTAAATTGTAGGCCTACTGTTTTATATAGGTTTATCTAACATAACTATTAATATTCGCACTAATATGCCCGACAAAAAATAACATATGTAACTCTTTTGGCGTTCTGTACTCTTGTTATAACTTTGCTGATCAGACTGAAAAACAAAATAACCAATCATGGCTGGAGACGGCTTAAATGGGTAATGAAGAAAAACTTTAATACAAGTTTAACA